TGGGGGTAGTGTAATAGCATCTGCTGCCATCTTCTTTCATCAGATAAGTCTGCTTTATTGCCACTCTTGGAAGGTGATGAGAGATCTAGATTATTGACCATCCAATATCTTATCTCTGCATCTGAGAAAATAATTCCTCCATCATCTTCCATTCCATCATCATAGATAAGAGGTTGTTGCTCTTCTGATGTAGGGCTGTGTGGCTCTATCTCTATATCGTTTGGACGCTTTGTGGAGATCTAGTTGTAGGCTTATGTGCAGACTCTGTGAGGTGATCGACGTGGTGATCGACGTGGTGATCGGCGAGGTGATCGTCTTGGTGATCTATATCGATAGGTTGACCTTCTTGGCGATCTATGAGGGGACTGATAGCTTCAGCGAAGCTCTTGTGTAGTCCCTTGCTGATCTTTTAGATGAAGACGATCTGGGTTCAGGTGTGTCCTTCGCGAACGCCTCGCTGAAGCCAGTATCGTCCGTCCTGGGGAGCGATGATATGACCTTCGCCGAAGGCTTAAGCGGTGGTCTGGTGATCAGATTCCATATCTGAGTATGACCTTAAGAAGGTGATGATTCTTCCCGCCGCTAAGGCCTTCGCCGAAGGCTGTACATCTGGGTCCTTCGTCGAGGTGGTCTGTGACTTCCTTCAGCGAAGGCTGCATTGTCGTGGCTGCTACGCTGACAGATGGTGCCCTGGGGTGCTGTCACGTTGGAGCCTTCGCGAAAGGCTTCGACCCTGGGATGGCTGCTTCTCCAGTCTATAGTGGCCTTCCATCATAATCATGATCTGTTTCATAAGATCGTTTGGGATGATCTGCGGCGTAGTAGATGGTGCCCTTTCTGCTGTGTTAGCTGTGGGGCCCTCAGCGATCTCGCCTGACATCAGTGTAGAGGCATCAGGCTGCTTGTTGATCTCTGCTGACGCCACTGTCGCTGTCACTGGTCGCTTCTTGTGGCATGTCGGGTATGATGATCGGCTGGTCATCGTAGAGGCCCAATTCTGCTGCTGGAACGATCTTCGTCTGAGAAAGTTCTTGATGACTTCAGAGATTTCCTTTGGAGGAAGACGCTGCCCTGGGGGCACGAAGTCTCGCGCTTGAGAAGACGCTGAGGCCCTCTTGACTTTGTCTGCGATGACTGGATGTCTGGAGAGGCCGGGTCGCTTCTTAGAGGTGACGGACTGCATCCCACGCCCCCTCTTCCGATGGGGTCTCAAGCAGAACACCAGACGGAGGGGATCACTCGACAGCAGTTGACTGGATGGGCAATCCGGACGATCGCCATGTCTACACCTAGTTTGCAGTGGACCTATCTGCAACACGCCTCAAGACATAAAGATGGTATTTATCAAAGGCAGAATTGGTTAAATTTATGCAGTAACTGCAACGTGAGTCAAACGCACAAGGCGAAAGTACAACTAGGGCATACCACATGCGGATCCATGAGCGAAAAACGTAATCTACAAATAGTACAGTTTTTCATCAATGTAAAACTAGCTGAACAATCCGAACTCACGTGAATAAACAGTAGAAATACGATTATTTATTAACGCTAAATAACTGAAGGATACTAGCTATACCTTTATAGTAAACTATAAAAGGTAACTAACTAAGAAAAACCAAAGGATATAGTGTGTAAGGAGACACAGGCGCTCTCACATCCTGCTCACTGGGCGAAGAAGGAGAGAGTGAAGCATGAGGCCAGAGGGTGGCGACACCTGTTCCCGAGCTTACGGCAGGGGAGGTAACTCGTGGGTGAGTACCAATTAGTGATTTTACATTGAAGGGAGCTTCAATTAAGGAGATACAAGTGTTCCACTATGTTCGCAAGAGGAAGGGGACAAGCAAAAGAGCATGAGTCAGGATAAGGAAAAATAAATATTTTTGGCGTTTCTGTGGCAACAAGTTTGACTAAAACAGAAATTAGTGGTAGTGCACTTTTCCGGGGCAGAACTCTAAAACCGTTCAATGTTTCTTCACCAAACTTGGCACATAGATAGATCTGATGGTGTACTGGTGCCTTTTGGTAGTTTTGGATTTCTGAATTAAATATTTTTGGCATTTCCATGGCAACAAGTTCGACTTAGACTGAAATTGGTGATAGTGCTCCTTTCTGGAGCAGATCTTTAAAAACCTTTCAATACTCTCCTTCCACTTTTCTATATACACACCTAAATATTTGACATAATCATAACTCTTAGACATAATCATGAAGAGTATTTTGCCATTGCGGGGGATATTGATGACTTTGTCTTCTTGTTATATTCTACTTCATATTAGGTCTTTGAATGGCATTTAGAAGCCATATACATAAGGAAGAGAGTTTATGGATGTCAACTTCTTTATTATGAGGAACACATTTCATTACATGAATGATGAAGGAGTAAGGATACACTCCGAAATGTTGTGTTCTTCATAAGAAGAAGTTGACATCCATGAAACACTCCTTTCCTTATTTCATATTATTTGAAAATAATGCTTCCAGTGACAATTAAGATTTTTATGTACCATAAACAAGGCAAGCTTTTCATATAAAGAATTAGATTGGTTTGAAGGCAGGTGACCTTATGCACGGGCTGGAAGATCGAAAAAAGATTCTAGCTCTATAGATTGCATATGTAAATTTGATTCAAGTTCGAAGGTTTGTAAAGGGGGTAGGGAGCCTTATAGACGGCAAATATAATGATCTGCTTGAATGGAATCTAAATTATTGTGAATTTTGTACCAACTTGAATCTGAAAACTAGTCTGATATATAGGGCTACTATTGGGCTAGATAAATCTCTGCGCACCATGCTGTATTTCAACAGTCCCTCAACAACAAACATAAGGCTAATTCTTCCAGTGTCAAATTATATTGGTAATGACATAACAACAAGAAGACAAAGTCATCAATATCCCCCGCAATGGCAAAATACTCTTCATGATTATGTCTACGAGTTATGACTATGTCAAATATTTAGGTGTGTATATAGAAAAGTGGAAGGAGAGTATTGAAAGGTTTTGAAAGTTCTGCTCCAGAAAGGAGCACTATCACCAAGTTCAGGCTAAGTAAAACTTGTTGCCATGGAAATGCCAAAAAATATTTAATTCAGAATTCCAAAACAACCAAAAGGCACCAGTACACCACCAGATCTATCTATGTGCCAAGTTTGGTGAAGAAATAGTCAACGGTTTTAGAGTTCTGCTCTGGAAAAGAGCACTACCACCAATTTCAGTCAAAGTCGACATTTTTGCCATGGAAACGCCAAAAATATTTAATTCAGAATTCCAAAACAACCAAAAGGCACCAGTACACCACCAGATCTATCTATGTGCCAAGTTTGGTGAAGAAATAGTCAACGGTTTTAGAGTTCTGCTCCGGAAAAGACAAATTTGCACGTACCACCAATTTCAGGCTAAGTGAAACTTGTTGCCATGGAAACGCCAAAAATATTTTATTCAGAATTCCAAAACAACCAAAAGGCACCAGTACACCACCAGATCTATCTATGTGCCAAGTTTGGTGAAGAAATATTGAACAGTTTTAGAGTTCTGCTCCGGAAAAGAGCACTACCACCAATTTCAGTCAAAGTCGAACTTGTTGCCATGGAAACGCCAAAAGTATTTTATTCAGAGTTCCAAAACTACCAAAAGGCACCAGTACACCACCAGATCTATCTATGTGCCAAGTTTGGTGATGAAATATTGAACGGTTTTTGAGTTCTGCTCCGGAAAAGAGCACTACCACCAATTTCAGTCAAAGTCGACATTTTCGCAATGGAAATGCCAAAAATATTTAATTCAGAATTCCAAAACTACCAAAAGGCACCAGTACACCACCAGATCCATGTATGTGCCAAGTTTGGTGAAGAAATATTGAACGGTTTTAGAGTTCTGCTCCGGAAAAGACAAATGTGCACGGACGGACGGACAGACGGACGGACGGACGGAGTCCATTTTAATACCCCCCGCAAAACGCGTTGCGGGGGATAAATAGATCTTCAAGGCATTGGTGGTTTCATGGCCAATGTACACAGTTGCATCCCTTTGTCAAACTAGGATCAGCTGACTCTTTATCATTGTTATCCAGATTATTACCAATGGCTTGTCAGCACCATGTGTGTGTTGATATCGTCCATTTGGGTCTTTCATCCCACATTGAGCTGTGTTATGAATGCTACACTGTTCAAAGTGGCAGAAAACTCATAGGCGGATCCAGAAATGTTTTGGTGTGTGTGTGTGTGTGTTTGAACCCCTTGAACCCCACCTTGGCTCTCAACTCATTCCCCAACCAGGATCTGTGTCAAGCGTGTTTCCTTGTAACCTAATGCACATTAGCTATATTGACATAGCTGGAATATCGGAGGCTTCCTAACCAGATCACAACACTGACAAACTTGCTGTGTCAGGCTATGCAGGACACTATTGAATGCAGAAAAGGTACTCACTATTAAAAGCTATATTGACATAGCTGGAATATCGGAGGCTTCCTAACCACACAACACTCGCTGTGTCAGGCTATGCAACACTATTGAATGCAGGTACTCACAAGCTATATTGACATAGCTGGAACATTGTGTATACTTAACGACCTTCCGTGTAATGCAATTTTTATTAAACGAGTTAATGATTTGGTATCAAACAAGTGAAAGCGAGTTTGATACTATATCTTTCACGATATGCCATTTCACAGAAGCGAGTTTAGTATTCTGTTTACTACTCTCCAACATAAATTTATAGAAACCGCCTTCAGTGTGATGACTCGCATGTCAATTTTTCCGCGAGTCAAGCAAGGTCTAATACCATTAAGACAGAGGCATCAGCCATTGCGACATCATAACTGTAACCATTATGACGTCATAATACTAGCGGTATTACACAAGTGTAATATTGCAGTAAAGATATTACACTGCAGTATCTTCCACAGGCAAGTAATAAGATCAGTTCCTCACTACACAACACACACAGTGTATGATCAGTGTTCTTGATGATATTCGCAAATAAACACTATGAACAACCAACAAAACATTAAACTACTTTATTTCACAGCAGCGTAAACATGATTAATGTATGTACAATCAACAGTGGGTTGTGATGTATATAGAATGGAGTGAGCTGACAATTTTACACCAATGACAACTCATGATAGTGAGAAGGCAAAAGAAAATACCTGTGTTTCAGGTAACATGGCAGACTGTTAGTTTAACTTGCGACTAAAAGGTTTTAATCACTAACTACACATATTTCACTTCCAGGTGAAAGAAAATGTTTCCACATTATACCGTTCTGTTTTTGCTGCAGCAATTCGTGTCTACAAATTCAACATTCATTGCAAATGAAATCAGTTCTAAACAAACTATCTGTGGTAACAAGTTTAAAGAATGAGTTTCTTTTCCAAATCACTTCTGACCCACACTTGCTAAGCCATATTTTACCTGAAACACAAATTATGGGTTAACTATTTTGCCTTTACAATGATTTAGCACAGGTTGAATGACTTTTTAGAAATGACCCGAAATAATAAGAAGTATTAGTAAAATTTATAATATTTACACAAAAGAGATGCAAATGTGTTGTGTCACGCGATTTTGGGGTGAGAATTCAATGGAAACTTGATTCTTTTATGCCACTTACGTCAACATGGAAATTCTTGTACATGTTCAGAGATGACACATTTAAAAAAGAAACCACATAATCACCAATGTCAAATATTCATATCTACACAGAACTTAAAGAACTCAGATACGGATAGAGAAATCTTCCCAGCTTCTTCGGGAAGGTGGTTTGACAGAAGCACTTAATGATGCTGAAGAGAGTTTAACAATACAAACATCTGTCCCCCAGTTCACTCTTACACCAGTCAGGCTCACACAAGGCACAGTCATTTCTCTATGTTCGTTAAGCAATATCTAAGCTTCACTAATCAGTGCTTCAGTCTGGTCAACTACAAAGATGTTAACGTCAAGACTGTCAAAAAGAGAATTTGAAAGTACAGCCATCTGGACAGCTGTAAGATCAGTTTGAAATACAGGACCAGGAAGGAGCCGTGTGATTATCTATGTACACCTTCCTTAAACAGTCGAAATTTCAGGTTTAATCTTTCCAGTCATTTACGTCATTCAGGATCTGGGTTCCAAGTCCCCATCTTAGTATTGTTAAGATAATGGCCTTTAACTGCTTGGACTTATTTCCCCAAAACATATTTTTCATTAGCAAATGCAGCATAAAGGTTTGTTTCACAACCAGACAACCATTACAGTCTAAACCATTACAACGTAAAGTAACTATGGTAACTAAATTACTGCTAAATCCAAATATTGCTTGAGAAACTTGAGTTTTGAGAGGAGATAAGTGTTGTTGAATAACCTGATTTGGGTTCTAAAAACAAAAGTATTTTCCCCTCTTAACTTGCCCTGGTAGAGTTTCATGTCTGACTGACATGTTGTGATCAGTTCAAAGTAAACAGAATTATCATAAATCCAATTCATTTCTTATATTCATTATCGGTATTAGAACAGACATTACCACACAAAATCGTAACACCAAACAACTTACTGACATCTTACAGCAGTTTCAGTTACATGAAGGGAGACAACTCTGACATTGAGTTATGCCCCTCAGACCCACATTCCACTGTACATGGACGTGTTGTACATTTTTACAAGATTATCCAATACCACAGATAGTAACACCGACAAACACCTTTTGTCTCTAAACTCCTGCCAAGTAGCACAAGAAATAATCATACAAGACCGAGCTAGAACATCTAATAAAAACACTATGCTATGGAACAGTAATATTGAATGATAGATGGAAATAAAAGCAGAAGAGGAATGATGACTATGACGTGAGCGACACGGGTGCCGCGATGATGTCCTACACTACATGTAGCAGTACAAACAATAATCGGCTCAGTGGGTTTGGAGGAAGCTGCATGAACAACATACAACCAGGAGGAGAAGAGATGACGTTCCCTTACATCTCCCCTCATGTCCCCAGTTAGTACAATAATATCAAAGTAACGGTAGATCTGGACGATTTCTCTCATTTGTAACAAAAGACTGATAAATGCTTTAGCTAAAACATCTTGGTTCTCGGTCTTACTGCATGGTGTGGATTGAACACAGCTCTCTGAAGAGAATTTCAGCTGAAGCACTGCATGTAACTAAATGTGAAGAAAAGTCAAAAGAGATAGAAAATTTCAACCCAGTGTTTTATATATATATATCAGCACAAGTCGAAAGAACTTTAAGAACAAAACTTATATTGATGTTCAGACTATCATCAATAATCAATTTTCCGACTATCTGAGTATTTTAACAGTAATAACCAATGTGTTGAGTACATAGACCCAGTTGCAGCTACCAAGATATCAGTGTGGTCATGGTAACCAATGACATCACAATGGTCGGCAAAGTGATGCCGTTCTATTGACCCCATTAAAGCAATATCTCCAGAGAAAGCCAGTTTCAGAAGATAAACACCGGTCTCGGATGTTTGGCTCTTTGTTGAGAAGCCCAGCACTGTGCTCACAGGCCATTAACCACGATCGCAGATGACCTTGGACTCCAGCTGACAGCCAGTCCTATTCACACATGCTCCTTTACATAGCGACATTCACATATTGACTTTCTGCATTCAGACAAAAAACCTGAAGTTTATGTTTTATTAGAATAGATCTGTTCACTCTAACTTCAGTGTTGCACGTTGACACAGGCTCCTTGGTACAAAGCAACCGCAGCATTTGATTGTCGTAATGTAAGTTCACATGGTAACCTGAACACTACAAACACTTTATGCCATGGGGACCTGAACACGGCCTTTTCCTAAAACCTAATCACACAACTGTTAAAGTATATAATTTCAATCAACTGTGTGACAAGGATATGTTTCCACAACTGAGTTCATCATCCAACACAACAGACCAGCCCTATATTCATACATAGTCAAAACTGACTGGCTGAGTTTGGTTTTACGCCGCTTTTAGCAATATTCCAGCAACATCACGGCGAGGGACACCAGAAATGGGCTTCACACATTGTACCCATGTGGGGATTCGAACCCGGGTCTTCGGCATGACGAGCCAACGCTTTAACCACTAGGCTACCCCACCGCCCCTACACAGTCAAAAGTCCCTGTGAGATGCATGAAACAAACAAAACAGACCCCCATCAAAATGTCGTAATCACACTTTCACTTGGACAAAAGGCAAATCAGAGTGACACTCCCCCCAAAAAACAAAAAAAACCCAGGGCACTTACCAACTTAACCTTTTATAAGCAGCCTGAGAAGATCCAACATGTCTTCGTCTGCTGCACTCAGATCATCAGCTATCGTTATACATGACTGATGATAAATACTTGTTCTCTGATATTTACTGCCCACAGCAAGCCTACGGGGACATTCCAGTATCAGTAGATATAATGTTGCACTTCCATTCCCAATACCCAACTCATACTGTACTGCTAAGGTTACACAAATGCTCACAATCTAACCACACGACACGCACATGGTAACATTGACAATGGTCTGCTCATACAACCTCATCCACACACGAACCAGTTCCACATGAGAGACTGTGGTAGATAAAAATCTTTTTGGGACTTGCAATTTTGACACTATGACAGTTCTGTTGGCAATCAAATATCAAACTGACTACGGTCTTATTTTAGAAATGACAATTTTGACACTTGCAAGATGTAAGTGAGCTATAAATGCCTTGTGAGTGGACAGTTGGACACTGAGTCCACATTCATCAAGTGGACATAACACAAGACAATAATAAACTGTCACAGAAAGAGTGTCACTGCTGACATAGCAAGAGATTGTTCGAGACTGAACAAGTCACACAAGACCAGACTAGTCCCATTAGACGATGCTAGTGTCATTAGACCAGGCTAGTCCCATGAGACCAAGAGAGTCCCAGAAGACAAGGCTAATCATATGCAGTCACTTACAGAAGTGACAAGTTGCACAAGACCAGGCTAGTCACGCTGGACAATGCTAGTCCCATTAGACCAGGCTAGTCCTACTAAGTCGCACAGAACCAGGCTAATCACACTTGACTAGTCCCACAAGACCAGGCTAGTCACATTAGACCGGGCTAGTTACTGAGGTTAGTACTATGTGAAACTATCATCTTCTCCGGGGTCGATACACACTAGATTTCCTAGATGCCAACGTACACTGTCGGTTGGTCTCCCAGGGAAGTTCAAATTCTCTGAAAACAAAAACATTCTAAATGTAAACTCTATCCAGTAACAAATACCAAAGAATAACAGATGACAGTGTCACATAACAGGTATCATTCCTTGGCATGATGTCGACAAACATCATGGACGGCATGTGACATGACACGTTTCATCTACCTGACAGATTACATGTGATAGTGATAGAGATGGTGGGTGCGTCCGACATAGGTCATTCCACATGCTCAGTGACGGATATTATTTACATGACTCATTCATACTGGACACAACAGTAAACACGGTTCTGCAAGATTTCAATGTACCCATCTTTTGTTCCTTCAGCATAATACAAATGTGAACCAGTGAGGTGGCTGTACACCACACTCATCAGCATCCCAGCTACATCATGGTCACTTGTAAATAATGGAGACTGGGCTAGGTACATGATCCTCGCCATCAGCGATGGTACAGCCAAATCAAGGATTGGATCCATTTCAGACAACTCTTTCAACATGTAGAAGTAACCATGGTTATCTGGAGCTTATTAGCCCTAATCCCCCTCCTTGACATTATACAGGTTAGGAATATACTCACAACGGCTTCATATGGGGGATAGGTTGTCCGAAAGCTGTCACTGTGAGCTTCTCTCCCACCTCGATATGAGTTACTGGAACACAAATAATACCAACCTTAGATATAACACAGTCACCGAGGATAAAATACAAATACAAACAAGAAATAGCTGAACAAAGGGACACTCATCTCCAGGCAGAGATTACAGTAATATTTACAAATCAGAAAAGTGAGCGAGTGAGGTTTTACAACGCTTTTAGCAATATCAAGACTCGGGACCCAGAAATGGGCTTCACACATACTACCCATTTGGGGAATCAAACGACGAGTGAACGCCTTAACCACTAGGCTACCCTACTTTCCCTAGGTCAGAAAAGTCCACACTGAGGCACACCACTCCCAGAAGATAATGTGCTGATATAGCGTAATGCCCAGTCATCACTGCATCAGTTGCAGTAGTTCCAGCAAGCAGTACTTACTATCATCCAGACATGGGATGAAGGACTCCACGTGACTCTCATCATCTTCTTTGGTATTGTGGACAATTCGCTGCTCCTTTTCCTTCAGGCGCAGCAGATTCCGCTGTTCCGTAGTTGCTGCAAGTCCCATCTAAATCACAAACATTGAGAAAGTCAGATCAGGTGTATGCTTTCAAGGAACAACCTGTTGGAATCTACTCTGGTACGTTTTGGCGCCCAAAACCTCCTGAACAACATTCATACCAACATAATGAATGTACGTTACTTTTTATCTTTTCCTTCATGTGTTCATACTTCTTTGATAACAATAATAAGAGATAAACCCAGTCTGAATCAAATTCCTTCACTGACCAATTAAACTGCCACAAAAACAAAAGGACAGATAAAACTTGGGAGAAAGTCCTCTCAAAAGCTAATACAATCATGAAAATGTCCCAATGTATTGAAAACAACCCAAACCATTATGGATATCAGGAGACACGGTGGGGTTTATATATTCTGTTGAACAGTTCCTCAAAAAAATTATAACAAAATAAAACACTATAAACTCATAAATTGTCTCATAGCCCTATATTGAGAAAAAACCCAACCCAAAACAGAATAAACCCAGTTACACAAACATGCCAAGATACAGTAACTATTTATCACTAAATGACCAAGTGAACTGTAGACAGTCTCTGTGTGAGATGGACATGTTCATATTTCTGTTACATCACAGTAACACAAACATCTGGAGAGGAAATCCAAACTGTGGCAGGACCTGTCGTATGGGACACGAACACAACACCCCACACAACCCGGCCATCAATGTCCCCATTCTTGGAAACACTCACCGTTTTCTTCTCCTTTCTTCCAGCTCAGGCTTTTGATGCCGTTTTATAAACACCTCATCTTCTAGGTTCTGAAACCAGGAAAACAAACATTACCTTGTGAACCATTCAGTTGTAGGGCTGTCACTAGGCACCAATCCACAAAGTGATCTTAGCCCAACAACTGTGAAGACTCAATTAGAAAGTAAGGGAGATGGGATGGATTAAGTCCCCTGATTTGAGGAATGGAACCCTTCAATCTGGTTTTCAAACACTTAAAACAATTACCCCACACTAGACTGTAGTACCCAGTTAAGAAACCTAGGCAATACAAATTTAAGTTGTGATCCAAAGCTAACAGAAGCTCAGTAATGGTATCCACAGAAACTAATGCTGTACCTATCGCACTGAGGCAAGTGCTTATAAACTGGTCTCATAACTCTTCTCTGCTTAGCATCTGTAAATTCCCGCTCAATATGACTGGTTTACAAGTGGAGTACTTTGAAGCTGTTCCCCGTTGTACAAAGCCGCCTCAGTGTCATGATTACATTCTGTGTCTACAGCTTATAACAAAATGGTGACTGTAACGGTCTGTTGAAATGTAAAACTATCAGCCCCAGAACAAATCTGTCAGCCTACATGCTGAAGTCTATTTCAAACAGTGATTCATACACCACAAAAACTGGGCATCCTTACCTCTGTTCCTTCAAGTTGGTACAAGTTTGTTATTTTGTTGAACCTCCATGTGGGTGTTTCAACTGCAATAGAACAGAACACAATCATAATACAATACAGCATTGAATTGTAAAACATCACAAGCATATGACCAGTGGACTCTGTAGGTTACATCACTGTCAGGAGATGTGGGCAGAGAGCCCAACAGAAGAAGCTGTGTGAGGTTTACTGTGTAATACAATGCTGGGATCTAATTTTGAACATCAGTATCCCAACATGATTTCTACAGATTCCGAGGTGGAATCAACAAGCCAAGAAATCATTCCTCTGGCTGAACCTTGTCATGGTAGATATATTACTTCTTTATAAATTCTCAAGCAAGACCTAATATTGTGTAACTTCTACTTGTCCCTGACTGTAACAACAACAACAGCTGCACGTGATCACAGTGGTTTACACTACTGATTAGTTCAATAAGCCTTTCAAAGAATTACAGTTTATTAGATAACTTGAGATGTTGGGCGACATCACACACGTCCTTGTGAACCACTGCCCCAGCCATGTAGTGACTTTACAATGGACATCAAATGATGCGATATTTTCAGTCAGATCCATTTTGTCTACTAAAACACTTCAGTGACTTTCAGAATAATGAAGCATTTGTCCAACAACAATGTTGTGTTTCAGTCACACACATTTACAATGGAGTGATCATCATTTGTTTACATACTGTCTAATGATGCACTCAGCAGTGTTTCAGCCATATGATGACGTTTCCTTGATATTCAATATCAGCATTCTTCTAGGACATGACTTACAGAACAGAATGACCTGTTCACTCGCTCAAAAACATGCCATATCAAACAATTATGAACTGACTCAAACAAAATTTTACTACTTTGCCGCATGAAAATTTAAAAACGTTCTTGTATTACCTAAGGTCTGTGATCGTGCACTCCGACACAAATTTGGATACGATATATTGTCAATAGTCCGTGACCTTGCTTCACAACATGTCACATGATATGTGCAATCTGTCTTTAACAGAGTTTCCTCCCCTTCCACAACATCCTCCTTGTCTGAATCATCATCAATGTCCGACTCGGAATCGGATTTGGGCACCTCCACCTGTGATTTGGTCAGAGTCTTCGTAACAGTTCTGTGCACAGATCGGTTTCCATGGTTACGCGGAGACTCCCTATCTAGTGCTGCACGCTTGGAAGGAAGACCATCTTTCTCTGTTGCTGACTGATGTGCTTTCCTGGAACAGAAATATTTAGATGATTCTCTACATGAAATGACTTCAATATCGCAAGGTCTCCAGCACAAGCTTCCTGCCCTGTACCTACTGGTCATGGAAATGACTTCAATATCGCAAGGTCTCCAGCACAAGCTTCCTGCCCATATTGTACCTACTGGTCATGGAAATGACTTCAATATCGCAAGGTCTCCAGCACAAGCTTCCTGCCCTGTACCTACTGGTCATGGAAATGACTTCAATATCGCAAGGTCTCCAGCACAAGCTTCCTGCCCATATTGTACCTACTGGTCATGGAAATGACTTCAATATCGCAAGGTCTCCAGCACAAGCTTCCTGCCCATATTGTACCTACTGGTCATGGAAATGAGTCATATTGCAATGATAATCTGAAAATAAAGACAAGCTTTTTCTTCAACTACAGTGAAATATTTTCTGTTTAGGAATCACAGTCAGAGTAAAAGCTCAAAACTGAACAATTATCGAGCTAATTCTGTAGCTGTGTGTTGTGGGGCCCAATACCGCCAAACTGCTTTGAGAGGCATTTAGAAGCTGGGGCAGTAAGGAAAGATAACAATATATGGATGGACAACTTCTTTATTCGGCTGTGAGACAGACGTTCGAGCGACATTTGTAGGTTCTAGTACAATTATCACTTGCTTGATAACGGTGTTAGAACCTACACCGAAACGTCGCTCTCACATCAATAAGGAAGTTGTTCATCCATATATGGTTATCCTTCCTTACCCTCAAACAACCTGGTCAGTATATTAGCCTATGACAAAGGGTCCTTGTATTCAGTGCAGGAAAATTATGCTATAAATAGACATGGCATGTAAATACAAAAGAATGACCCCTAAGGCATTCTATCTATTGTTGATGTTCAGTCTGATGAATACACAATGCCATTTAGAAAGTGGTCAAATGTAACACGTTATATCTGAAATTACACTTTATTAGTACATCCGGGATTTGAGCCCACACTCTCAGAGTCAGGTACCTAATCGCCAGAACATGAAGTCAGTAGAAGATGCAGTGGCTGAGTCGGCTGACTTTGTGGGCTGGCGATTAGGTGCCTGACTCAGAGTTATTAAGTTGTCATATTAATTATAACAAAGTAATCCCGGTCTCAGGGATGCAGAGTTATGCACATTGCCAGCTTTATTTCACAGGCAAACAGAATTGCTGCACCTGTTCCCACCACAGTCACCCTGATACTGTCACACCTCTGTCAATTTACTACAACTGACGACCCACCTTTTGACCCCCTTGTCTGGGGGGATGGCCAACGCAGCCTCGATAGCGGCTTCCCGCGCCACGTGAGTATCATGGGATTCCTCCTTCTGCTTTAGTATTGACATCCGACGCTCCATTCGCTCCAAGCGACATTGTAACTGAAAGAACAATTAAAAACAATAAAATTAAAAAACTCTAGTTGTTTACCTGTTTGCACAACTTTTGTAAAATGAGTTGCCCATAAATAATTGTGACCCTTGTATAACACTTGCACTGAAAGTTAAAAATAAAGGGTCCCTTGATCAACAAATGATTCCAAACACTTGATTTCTACAATAAGGAGGAAGATGCTTTAAAGTTTATTTCTACATTAATATTGCAAACATGATGGTCAAATTTGATACAATCAGAATTTATAAAAAAATACCCCGATTCTCTCAACTTTCTAACCTGCATGAATTCATAATGCAAAACAAATCTGAAACACTTTTCATAAGAGATGACCAAATCTTTGTGCTTTCATCTTTAAAACAGATTCATTAGTGTGATTGGGAAAGTGATCACTATATTTCACTGTCACAATATTTACATTTGTATATCCAGAAACACACATGAAGGACTTGCGCCAGTTATCAGGCAAGAAATCATGTAGGTAATCATTTGTTCAGTTATGATGATAACGTAGATTATCATATGGACACACTTCTCATTGAACATCAGAGGCCTTTTCAATATATTATTGATTTTAAAGACCTTTTCTGTGCAGATTAAACATTTTAGGTTTTATCACCCATGTAATACTTTGTGCAGTATCATTTACATGACACCATCTGTACTGATACGGATTAATCTACCCCTGCATGCTGCAGATGCACACAACAAAATACATTAAATGGGTTCTAAAAGACACATAGAAATTTAATAAATTTACATTCAGAAACTGAATCTTGATGAATCTGCTTCTCAATACGCAATCCAAGAACAAACAGGTTAGTGTGTGTGTGCAAATTCATTTCCATATCATTTATCAGTGGACTAAGAATTATGGTAAGAGTTCCACCCGTAGCCACTGCTTTAAATGTACATGTATTCTGTTTTATATGTACTACACAACAACCTCACGAACACCTCATCCTCTGTTCAGGCAGGCAGTGGCATGTTTCTGTTGTTACCAAATGAAACAGGCATTTAGGTCAACACATATGTTTAGTAGGGAATACAATCCAGTCTTTTTATGAACTCTTGGCAATGGAAATTATTGTACCTCTATTAATCATACAGAAATATTGAGGTCTCTCTACATTACCTCGCTGTGCCACGAAAATAACACCACACTGCTATCAAGTGTATTACAAAATCTACAGATGGGAAAATATTGATTTGTTCAGGAAAAATTATATTACAAAATGAAGGACTAAGCATTTGAGTATCGAAAGAAGCGAAAAAGACTTTTAATGTACGAATATGAAGGCGAACGACAGTAGAGGCATTCGGGAATATTTCAACAATTGAGGACGTGCCTCGTCACTCAGCGTTCCGAAGGATTAGTAAAATGGCCATGTTGATTGCAACCCTGGCTTGGGTTTTTCCATCACTTACCTTCCTTCCAAGTAAATTTCTTAGCCTTTTTCTCAGCCCTCTCGGCACAATACTGCCGGTAATAAACTGGATCATTTTCAGATCTTTTATGAAATAATTTAACTAATTATTTACAATCTACGAGATACTAGGCTACCCAAGCAAGTTGATATGTACACAAAGAAATGCGGTTGGAGTTGGCTTGGGTCACATGATCAGTCATGTGACTTGAGCACATAGGTCGCAGGTCAGTCTGCACCGTCGCATTTGTTTTACGTATGCTAAAAATGATGCTAACATAACTTCATCACTGATATCTTCTATTTCATGACATTTATGTACATACTTCAAACGGAAAAGCTCTCATTTGAATGGCTCTTCTCCTGCACATGAAGAGATGGCAGCGGGGAGGTCAACACTGGCAACAAGTTGTTTTCCCAGGTCACTCGGTCGTATAGGTTAGAGGTTGAAGGTCGAACATTGTGATTGGCTGTTGACCGCGTGCACGAATTTCTCTTCTCCCAATTACATTTGTCAATACACCATCATCAAAGTGTGTCACTTCTATTCTAGTCAATAGGAAAACTTTGCCGATTTCAATATGTGGATATTAGCGATGCACAGACGCAAGCGTTAGCTGCCCTATTTTTCTAACAGATCTCAAAGCGTAGTAATATTAATTGAAATCACAACTTCCGTTTGCGCACTCACATGTCTGTCCGTTGGTGTCGAACTGTCAACAGTCACGACAGTGATACCGATTTTATATCGCAAAATGCAATTAAACATGGGTTAAAAATATGTCTAAAAGACACTTTACCTCACACTAAAATGATAACTAAACTGTCATAATGCAAAATAACGAAAACAATATTCAGTGCTCAATATATGCGGGACTCGCCAACATTTCACGCGATCGTGTGATTGTCAATACATCTAAGCAAAATATGCAGGGCAACCAGTCTTGGGCCCAACAGTTATGTAATTTGGTTATGAACAAGACTGGTATATTTAAACAACTTAATTAACGAAGCACGTTGACACATAACTGGCAAACTCTAACTTGGAAAAACAAGTCGGCCATTTTGCCTCGCCATTGAGTACACCACACCTGAGATAAAATTATCCTTACCGCGTTTTTCTCCGACTTTAGCGTTTTGATCTCTTTGTCTCTTTTTGATATCATATCCTGTTGGTGCTGAATTAATTCAATGTGAAGAAGTAACAGGTCCTTCAACTGTTTATTTTCATTTGGATGCGAGCTGTCCGCATTCAACAATTTCCCGGTCATTCTCGTCAGGGCGTTGTGATCTTCGGTTGACAGCGGCGGGCGACCACAGATTGTATTTTGGTTGTTGTCCGAATCTTTTTTCACATCGGGTTCTTTCTGACCTTTAGCATATTTTAAACTTTCCTGGATGGCAAGGTTTAGATCGGCTTCATCGAAACCTCCATTCATAGCTTTCGATGATAACCGCCGCTTTTGTAAATAATGCCTGCCTTCTGATCGAAACTTTGAATCCATCGTGTTAACATCCGATTTCATACTATCGTCTGGCAGTTCAAGCGATGCATTGACATTTAGCGAAACTGTCTTCAGAAATCACTATCAATGTCGTCCTTTGATGTATCTGAACGATTACTTCAAAGACAGAATTATCAAACCCGTTGGAGTAAATCCTCACCGGTGTCTTGGAGAAAAAGTTCCCGTTGAAAATAGTGCCTTGTAAACAAAGTCGCAGTTGATGTTTACATACAGTCTACGGGAGGGAGCCAAGGGTAAATCTGACGCTGAGTCAAAGTGTGCGTTGTGTCCAGAATTATCATTATTTCCAAGTCTCATTACCATCTTGTGTGTTCGCGCTGAGTAGCCTACACTCATGTGTACAACGAAATCTCTGTACCAAAACGCATAACATTGTGGTAAATGGGAAAACCCCGATACTTTCACCGGTCCTATTATGTGCAGTGACAGTAACTAATTGCAATTCAGATAACATGGCCTGCACATAAAGCTTAGATTCTAATGTGATAATACATTAAAATGATTGTCGCTTCCAGTGTGATAATACTTTAAATTAATTATCGTGTATATTTGAAAACGCTTGATTCAGCCCAACATCCCGATAAACCAATGATATGTGGGCTGAACGTACACAAAACCCACCTCTTAGATAATAAAGTTATGCCATAAATGGAGTACACCATAAGACGTCTCCCAGCACCTGCTGACACATAACCTGTCTTGTTTCTAGGAAATAAAACGCGTTGGACATGGGTTAGCCAACAGTGGCGTAGCTACCATTATAAAAAATATATATCAAAAAGCCCGGGCTTACATATGATTGGTGCTGAAAAGGTTGGGCAAGCCCTCAATACTATCTGAATATAAAGTTTTGCAACCTATCGGGCTTACACGAAAAAATTGGCTTGCTACGCGCCTGGGGCCAAGTTGTTATTGTCAAAGCGTGATCTTGTCATACCGAGGGTGGGGTTCGATTTCAATATTGGTGCACTATGTGAAGCCCATAATTCGTGTCCCTGCCATGATATTACCGGAATAGCGCTTACGTGGCGTAAAGCTACACAGTCGCTCACTTACTCTGAGTGATCTCCTCCTCCTCTTCATGATCCAAAGCGAGAACAATATTTATGAACAGACACCCTTCACCTCTTTTAGCATTCGTGGTATTTACAGAGTTACCTCCCTTAATTCATAACGTCTATCTAAATGACGTCATACGAAACACGTGACGTAAATAACAAACATTGATGACGTCATCCATGTACTTAGTGACAAAGATGAATGGTCATTCATTAGATTTATTTTTATAAATGTGAAAGATCACTGTTTATAAATAAGTCAAGCATCTGTGCAGGAATACAATCATCAGAGTGCATGTATGACTCGTGTCCTACAGACATATTATGTCTGATCTTAACACTTGATCACAATAGTCATATTTTGTCTTTGGGATAAATGTGTCTTCTGGACATGGATTTTGTTTTGTGAATGTATTTGGAAATTATTTGTTTGTGTTGGTATGATTTAATGTAGTAGGGTTCCTTGAAGATTCGGTTCAGAATTGGTCTTCAACAACCCATGCTTGTCGTAAGAGGCGACTACCAGGATCGGGTGGTCAGGTTCGCTGACGTGGTCTACACATGGCATCACATACCAGTTGCATGGATCGAGGCTCATGGTGTTGATGGTTGGGTTGTCTGGCCCATCCCGATTATTTACAGACCGCCGTCATATGCTGTAATATTGCTGAGTGCGACAGTAAAAAAACAAGCAAGCAAAACCAACAACAAAACTTTGAGACCCTAAGTGCTCACAAAAAATGTACAAGAAAAAAGAGGTTATTGAAGATACACTTCCCGAAACAAACAATATATCTGAAACATTATATAATTGAACACTAGTGCAGTTACTTCAAATATGATTATTTCACAACAGAAGATGACTAGTTTCAGATACGTTTCGCCTATGTTCGGGAAGTAACGTGTATTCCCAACGATATGTAAATATATACATGACTGAAATTTCAGAGAGATGCTCCAAGTACACACTACAGCCGGTAACAGATCGGATAACGCGTTGTTCCGCCGGTCTACAGAGAGATCCGGTTGTATCCTTGCCAGATCGGATAACGCGTTGTTCCGCTGGTCTACAGAGAGATCCGGTTGTATCCTCGCCTTCCGTAAATTCACGAACAAGCGACTGATAAATCTTCGAATGTAAAGATGACCGCCTCCGCGGTGTAGTGGTTACAGCGTCCGCCCGGAAAGCGGAAGGTCGCGGGTTTGATCCTCGGTCGCGTCATACCAAAAGACGTTAAAATAATATGGTACTGGTTGTTCCCTGCCTGGCGGTCAGCATTAATGGGTGCAACAAGGACTGGTCGTCTCGGAGTGAGTGGGGTATTCGGCATGGTATCTCAGTGGGCTAGCACTATAAAACCAGTTTAAGTCTGGGCTAGTACAAGCAGCCACACCTACACACATGCACGTCGTCATATGAGCGAAATATTCTCAAGTACGACGTTATTAACCCCCATTTCACGTCACCTCACCATTATTGATTGTGATTTTGGTAACACGTGACGTGTTGCTTTAAACCCCATTTCACGTCACCTAACCATTATTGATTGTGATTTTTTGTAACACGTGGCGTGTTGCTTTAAACCCCATTTCACGTCACCTCACCATTATTGATTGTTGTTTTTGGTAACACGTGACGTGTTGCTTTAAACCCCATTTCACCTCACCTCAAATCTAAAGAAACATACACCAGCTTGAAGAATTGCTTCCAAAGTTAGATAAACACATGTATCAGTTAAAATTTGATTTATATAAACAACGTTTTGTTAACGCCAGACTGATTTTAAGAGTAATTCTTGATCAAATGTCAGACATTTAAAACATAATCAAAACCGAAACTATAGTCAGTTTGCTGTGAAAACGTACAGATGAATTTCACTTTAAACAAAACAGTAAATCAAATAAAGTGAAATGAAGATTGCGAATCCTCATAACTTTACCTTGCCAATTGAACATTAAAATCTCAGAATTTTATTCAACTTAGGATAAAAGTTGTTTAACAAACGATCATAGGTTCAAATCGCTATTATGGGTTTGTATTACAAGGGTATGCACATTAAATGAAACTTCGAGAACAAGAAGGTTGGTTTCTACGGTAGTCTAAGTTAACGCTCATCACGTACCGCACGTGCATTTGTTTCACTGTTCCAACTACTGCGCGTACCCCCTTGTAATACAACCCAATAATAGTGATTCGAATCTATGATCGTTTGTTAAACAGCTTTTATGCTAAGCTGAATAAAATTCTGAGATTTAAAAGTTCAATTGGCAAGGTAAAATTATGAGGATTCGCAATCTTCATTTCACTTTATTTGATTTACTTTTTTGTTTAAAGTGAAATTCATCGGTACGTTTTCACTGCAAACAGACCATAAATACCAGCCTCAAATAAAGTCCCGTGATGATGACCTGCAGAAATAACCTCAAACGTTTAGCGTACTCCATTCCCTGTCAGAGCAGTAGCTACCTGTCAGTGTGTATTGGTTGGTTTATTGTTTAACGCCGCACTCAGCAATATTCCAGCTATAAGGTGGCGGTATGTAAATAATCGAGTCTGGACCAGACAACCCAGTGATCGACAGCATGGGCATCATTCTACGCATTTGGGATACGATGAAGTGTCAACCAAGTCAGCGACCCTGACCACCCAATCCCGTTAGTCGCCTCTTGCGACAAGCATGGTCTGCTGAAAACCAATAACCCGGATCGTCACGGGTTATCAGTATGCAACGCCACTGTACTTCATAACATACATCATGTATCTCAGAATAACATAGACACGGGATACACACATGAACATATAATCCATTGGTAAATGACAATGGGGTCAAGATATAACCCGCTGGTATAATAAAAGGGAGATATAACACACTGATAAATCGTTATATAATTGAGGTATAACACAATGATAAATCACAATGTAAGGGAGATATAACACACTGATAAATCGTTATATAATTGTATAACAATGATAAATCGCAATATAAGGGAGATATAACACACTGATAAATCGTTATATAATTGAGGTATAACAATGATAAATCAGAATGTAAGGGAGATATAACACACTGATAAATCGTTATAAAATTGAGGTATAACAATGATAAATGACAATGTAAGGGAGATATAACACACTGATAAATCGTTATATAATTGAGGTATAACAATGATAAATCACAATGTAAGGGAGATATAACTCACTGATAAATAACAATAGAAAGGAGATAGACACACATATACATCATTTGGTACACATATAAATCATGATAGAATGAAGATATAACACACTGATGGAACATAATATAATCGACGTATGACACAGATAAATCATAATATAATTGAGATATAACACACTGATAAATCATTATGTAATCGAGGTATAACACTGATAAATCAGAATATGAGGGAGATATAAGACACTGATAATCATTATGTAATCGAGGTATAACACTGATAAATCACAATATAAGGGAGATATAACACACTGATAAATCATTATATAATCGAGGTATAACACACTGATAAATCAGAATATGAGGGAGGTATAACACACTGATAAATCATTATGTAATCGAGGTATAACACTGATAAATCACAATATAAGGGAGATATAACACACTGATAAATCATTATATAATCGAGGTATAACACACTGATAAATCAGAATATGAGGGAGGTATAACACACTGATAAATCATTATGTAATCGAGGTATAACACACTGATAAATCACAATATAAGGGAGATATAACACACTGATAAATCATTATATAATCGAGGTATAACACACTGATAAATCAGAATATGAGGGAGGTATAACACACTGATAAATCATTATGTAATCGAGGTATAACACACTGATAAATCACAATATAAGGGAGATATAACACATTGATAAATCATTATGTAATCGAGGTATAACACACTGATAAATCACAATATGAGGGAGATATAAGACTCGGATAAATCCGAATGGAATGGAGATGTGAAGCTCTGGCATTTTGAGGATGCCGGATACTCAGCTTGGTATAGATTATTTCATTCTTGTCAATATTCATGTTTGTTTCTGAAGCAATATAGTGTGTTCATATTATACAGATTATGCTGAAATTGATATATTTACTTTAATT